ATCTGGGCTCTCTGTTCTGTTCCATGTGTCTGTTCTTGTGCCAGTACCATGCCGTTTTGAGAACAGTGGCTTTGTAATATAACTTGATATCTGGTATTGTGGTCCCTCGAACTTTGTTGTTCTTTCTCAAGATTGTTGTGGCTATTTGGGGTCTTTTTTTTATTCCAGATGAATTTTTGGAGAGTTTGTTCCAAGAGTGTGAAATATACTATTGCTATTTTAATGGGGATTGCTTTGAATCTATAGATTTCTTTGGGTAGTATGGACATTTTAATGATGTTGATTCTACCAATCCATGAACACGGTATGTTCTTCCATTTGTTTATGTCTTCCTCTATCTCTTTTTTTTTTTCAATGTCCTATAGTTTTCCAAGTACAGGTCTTTTATCCTTAGTTAAGTTTATTCCTAGGTATCTTAATTTTTTTGGTGTAATGTAAAATGGAATTGTTTTTTTTAGTTTCTCTTTCTATGAGTTCATTATTGATGTATAAAAAAGCCATAGATTTCTGGGTATTAATTTAGTATCCTGCTACATTGACAAATTCATTTATTAAGTCTAGTAGCTTTTTGATGGAGTCTTTGGGGTTTTCTATGTACAATATCATGTCATCTGCGCATAAGGACAGTTTTACCTCTTCTTTTCCAATTTGGATGCCTTTTACTTCTTCTTGTTTGATCACTATGACTAGCAATTCCAGTACTATGTCAAACGGGAGTGGTGAAAGTGAACATCCCTGTCTTGTTCCTGTTCTTAGGGGAAACGAGTTTAGTTTTTGCCCATTGAGTATGATGTTGGCTGTAGGTTTGTCATATAAGGCTTTTATTATCTTGAGGTATGAGCCCTCTAATCTCACTTTGCTGAGAGTTTTTATCAAGGGTGTTGGAATTTGTCAAATGCTTTTTTTGCATCAATTGATATGATTATGTGATTTTTATTTCTCAATGTGTTTATGTGATGTATCACATTTATTGATTTGTGGATATTTCACCATCCTTGCATCCCTGGAATAAATCCCACTTTGTCAGTGTATAATCTTTCTAATGTAATGCTGGATCTGATTTGCTAGAATTTTGTTGAGGATTTTAGCATCTATGTTCATCAGGGATATTGGCTGTAATTCTCTTTCTTTGTAGTGTCTTTATCTGGTTTTGGGGTTAGGGTAATGCTGGCTTCATAGAAAGAGCTTGGAAGTGTTCCTTCCTCTTGAATTTTTTGGAATAGTCTGAGGAGGATAGGTTTTAGTTCTTCTTTGAATGTTTGGTAAAACTCCCCTGTGAAGCCATCTGGACCAGGTTTTTTGTTTGCTGTAAGTTTTTTGATTACTGCTCCAATTTCATCAGTTGTTATTGGCCTATTCAGGTTTTCTGATTTTTCCTGATTGAGTATTGGAAGTGTTTTTCTAGGAATATCCATCTCATCTAGGTTGTCCAGTTTGTTGGAATAGAATTGTTTGTACTTTTTTTTTTTTTTACAATCCTTTGTATTTCTGTGGGTTTGGTTGTTACTTGCGTCTTTCATTTCTGATTTGGTTTTTTTTGGTCCTTACCCTTTGCATCATGGTGAGCCAGGCTAGAGGTTCATCAATCTTGTTTATCCTTTCAAAGAACCAGTTCTTGGTTTTATTGACCTTTTGTATTTTTTTTTTTTGGTCTCTATGTCATTTATTTCCACTCTGATCTTTATTATTTCCTCCCTTTTGCTTACTCTGGGCTTTTCTTGTTGCCTTCTTTCTAATTCTTTAAGTTGTAGGATTAGATAATTTATTACCAGTTGTTTTTCGTTGTTGTTTTGTTTTTGAGGTAGAGTTGTAGAGCTATGAACTTCCCTCTCAGGACTGCTTTCACTGTGTCCCATAGGATTTGGATTGTTGTGTTTTCATTGTCATTTGTTTCCAGGATGTTTTTTATTTCTTCTTTGATGTCTTTGGTAACCTATTGTTTAATAGCACGCTATTTAGCTTCCAAGTGCTTGATTTTTTTGAAATTGTTTTTTTAGTTGATTTCTAATTTTATGCCACTGTGCTCTTAGAAGATGCTTGATATGATTTCAATCTTCTTGAATTTGAAGAGGATTTGCCTGTGTCCCAATATGTCTCCTATTTTTTTAAATGTCCCGTGTGCACTTGAGAAGAATGTACATTCTGTAGCTTTAGAGTGAAATGTTCTGAAGATGTCAGTTAGTTCCATCTCATCTAGTGAGTTAATGATTGCTGTCTCTTTGCTGATTCTTTTTGTCTAGAGAATTTATCTTTTGATGTCAATGGAGTATTAAAGTCCCCTACTATTATTGTATTGCTGTCGATCTCTCCCTTGATACCCTCCAGAAGCTTTTTTATGTATTTGGGTGCTCCTGTATTGGGTGCATATTGCTAGAATTATATCCTCTGGTTTTATTGATCCCTTTAGTATTATGAAGTAGCCTTCCTAATCTCTTTTTATGGCCTTCACCTTGAGGTCTATTTTGTCAGATATAAGTATCGGTACCCCATCTTTTCTTTCATTTCTTTCTACCTGAAATTTTTTTTCCCCATCCCTTCACTGTCAGTCTGTATGGTCCCTTGTTCTGAGGTGGGTCTCTTGTAGACAGCATACTAGTATATATGGGTCATGCTTTCTTATCCATTCAGCCACCCTATGTCTTTGATTGGAGCATTTAAACCATTTACGTTTAAGGTTATTACTGATAAGTACTTATTTGTAGCCATTTTTATTCTTTATGCCTGTTCCTTCTATTTCTTCTTTTTACAACAGTCCCCTTTGCATGTCGGCATTGCTGACTTGCTTGTAATAAACTTCTTTAGCCTTTTTTTTGTCTGTGAAGCTCCTGATTTCCTCTTCAATTTGGAATGATAGCCTTGCTGGATAGAGTATTCTTGGATTCAGTCTCTTTCTTTGTATCACTTTGTATACTTCATTCCATTCCCTTCTGGCCTGATGTGTTTCAGTGGAGAAATAATTTGATAGTCTAAGGGAGATCCCTTGTAGGTAACTTTCTGTCTCTCTCTTTCAGCCCTTAAGATTCTCTCTTTGTCTTTAACATTTGCCATTATAATTATGATGTTTTTTGGTGTGGGTCTTTTTGGGTTCATCTTGTTTGGGACCCTCTGTGCTTGTGTGACCTTTTTCTTCCACAAGTTAGGGAAGTTTTCTGTCATTATTTCTTCAAACAGGTTTTCTAATCCTTGCTCCTCTTCTTGTCCTTCTGGCACCTCTATTATATGGCTGTTACTTCATTTCATGTTGTCCCAAAGCTCCCTTAAACTCTCCTTCTTTCTAATGTTTTTGTCCAATTGCTGTTCAGATTGGGTGTTATTTTTCTATTCTGTCTTTTAACTCACTGATTCAGTCCTCTGCTTCTTCTACTCTACTATTGAAACCTTCCATTGTGTTCTTCATTGCAGCTATGTCATTCTTCATCTTCTCTTGTTTCTTACACATGGTGAATTTCTCATCCAGACTTTTGAGCATTCATATAACCATTACTCTGAATTCTTTCTTTGACAAATAGCTTGCCTCCATTTCATTTCATTCCTTTTCTGGCAATTCTTCATTTCCTTTTCTTTGTTGATTGTTTCTTTTTCTCCCCATTTTCGCTGTCTCTTTCTGGCTCTGGGAACTCTGCTTGGGGTCCGAGAGGTTAAAGCTCCTAGTGGTCCAATGATTCAGGACTTGCTAGCCGAGAGGCAGGGTCTGCCTTGAGTTTCATACATTTTTGTCTCTGCTCTGAATTATATCCCACTCTCCCATGGCTCTGGTCCCTAAGTTTCTGCTTCAAATATTTGGGGTTGGCAGGGGCACCTGCACAGTTCCTGTGGTGTGTGACTCCCTGTGAGGGCCCAGAGCCCTCTGGCATGCAGGTCACTGTGTGGCCCCAACACCCAAGGCCTGATGGCACCCTAGATCCCTCTTCCTTTGCACCTTTAGCGTGGTCCTGTGACCTGTGGCTGGGTGCATCGGTCGTACCGGAAGCTCTGTCCTGGGCCTCGGGTTGAGCATGCACCAACTGAGGGCTCTCTCCTGGGCCAGGGTGGAGGGTGTGCTGGACTGCAGCTTTGTACTGGGACTGGGAATGGGACAGGGCAGGGGTTCAGCTGGAGACCTAAAGTGCGGGATCCTGGGATGCTGGGTCTGGGCTCCAGTGAGGAGGCGCAGCTTGGGAGGTCTCTCTGGTGTGCACTCACTGCAGATATCTGGAAGCCCACGGTGTGGGTACCATGTTACTCCCTGCAAAGGTATGGTGGTGGTCCCACACGGGTTATGGCTAGCAAGCAACTGCCCTGCATTGGTTCATGGCAGTGTCAGAGGCCAGTCCGGGGATTGATGTTGCTGTGATCCTGCCCTCTGCTACTCCCCCTTCAAGATGGTGTGGGTTCTGTGCCAAAGCTGTGCGGGCCTAGGAGTGCCTGCGGTGGCAGCAGGGCCTCCCCATCTAGGAGAGCTAGACCTGCCAGTCCCCGGGACTCCTGTGTTATCTAACTGCCTCTCACTCATCCACACTCACACCACACATGTCCGCACTCGCTCCTCTCACTCCTTTCCTCCGCCACACTTTCTCTCTCCCTGCTGTCCTGTAGGCAGCCATGTTGATCTCTGGCAACCTTTATTCATAGAGAGGCATTTATCATTGATACAGAGAAAAGGCCATTATTTAATGTGGAGTGATAGCATAGTAAAGCAATCATTGTAATTATCTTTAAAGGTCACTTTGGCAGATAGCAAGCTAATCAGCATCAAATACATTGAATTCTACATTAGAAATATAATGATCTTTGAAGTAAAAATAGAATCCTGTGTAATAAAAACTTAGTAATATACTAACAATTATTCAACTAATTAGTAAGTAATATATTGTAATCATTTATTGGAACATTATTTTGAGGCATAGTTAAAATAATCTTGAATGCTTGAGAAATTCTCCATACACCATGTATAGTAGTATGCTGAAATTCTTATGAAAAATTTCTACTCTATAAATGCAAAGAAAATAAAGAGTTCTTACCAAGTTTGCGATGATATAATGGTAGCCTTTAACATGCTTTCCAACACTCACAATCTGTGAAGATATAAGGAAATAAGAGAAACCAATTAAATTTTACTGAATGATTATATTTTTAACAGTAGAATTTTAACCTTTTTAGCATAATTCCTTATAGAAGCTGATGAGAAAATGACACCATTTTCCTTATGAGAGTGAATTATCCAAATGAATAGTTTACATATTTATAAAAGGTTAAGTTACTGTCCATCTGTCCGACCATCCATCCATCCAACCAACCGACCGACTGTTCGGTACCTATGACATACACTGGCAATTTAAAAATAAACATTGACTCGCGCATGTGTGACACATATAAAGCTCTCGCCAGCACCAATCACACGTGTGTGTTTTGACCTGTCATTATTGATCATGAATTTGGTTGTTATTGTTGACATTGTGAAGCTGAAAGAAAGCGGAAATTTTCACACCAATTTGAGGGATCATTCCATTGATTCAACGGATGATGCCAAAAAGTAAAGTTTTCCCAGAGAATTTCTTAATAGTATTACTCCTACAGGAATGCCTTGTCATAAATTAAAATTGAAAGTAGGTGCAATCATCATGCTACTGAGAAATATTAATAGTAAATGGGGTCTTTGTAATGGTACTAGATTTATTATCACAAGATTGTGACCTAACATAATCGAAGCTGAAGTATTAGCAGGCTCTGTGAAGGAGAGGTTGTTCTGATTCCAAGAATTGATTTGTCCCCTTCTGACACTGGCCTCCCATTTAAATTAATTTGAAGACAGTTTCCCATGATGCCAGCATTTGCGATGACTATTAATAAAGCACAAGGACAAACTCTAGACAGAGTAGGAATATTCCTACCTGAACCCGTTTTTGGACATGGTCAGTTATATGTTGCTTTCTCTCGAGTTCAAAGAGCATGTGTCTTTAAAGTTGTAAATACTTCATCACAAGGGAAATTAGTTAAGCACTCAAAGTGTTTTTACTCTTAATGTGGCATACAGGGAGATATTAGATAAGTTTAATCAATTTATCAGTCATTGTTTTTATCAATGTTGTTTTTATATCATATTTTTGTCGTTTTTATATCATGTTTTTGTTGTTTTCATATCATGTTTTTGTATCATGTCTTTGTTGTTGTTATATCATGTTGTTATTGTTTATTTATTAATCAATTTATATATTATTTTCATATACATTTTACTAATTTTCTTTCATCTCTGACACTTCTGTTATAGAGAAAGGGCAAATAGCAATATTAAAATATTTCTCCTGGAGAACCAAGATGGCGGCATAGGTTAACGCCGGAGTTTGCTGCTTTGAACAACTACTTCAAAAGTGAAACCAAAAAACGGAAGGGACATCACCCAGAACCACAGGAACGCTGCCTGAGTGGAAGTCCTACAACTAGGAGGAAAGAGAAACGCATGCGGACACTCAGAGGAGGCGCAGTGCTGAAGTCAAATTCTGAGGTGCGGAGTGCGCGGAGCGGGCTGGCGGCGGAGGGTGCGGTTGGCGTTTTCAATCGGGAGGGAGTCGCAGACTCTGAGCTCCAGATACAGGCGAGTCTTTAGGGACCCTGACTCAAATGGGAGAAGCGGGACTGTCTGGCTTCGGTCAGAGCGAGTGCAGCTTTCTCTCCGAGCTTTGCAGCGGGTGCTGGGACTCAGAGAGGCAGAGCCCCTGGGGACAGGACTGAGAGCCGCCATAACTGCTCTCTCCGGCCCACCCTGTTGATCCTGTGCGACCCGCCCCGCCCAAGCCCTGCACACAGGCATTTGCCGGATAGCCTCAGGCAAACGCCAGATTAGCACCTCCCTAGAGGACAGAAGTTCTCTCACTGCTGACACAGCTGATTCTCATAGCCACTTGGCCTGGAGGTCAAACCCTCCCTGGAATTAGCTACAACAATCAAGATTTAACTATAAGACTGTGAACAAAGACCACTAGGGGGTGCACCAAGGAAGCATAACAAAATGCGGAGACAAAGAAACAGGACAAAATTGTCAATGGAAGATATAGAGTTCAGAACCACACTTTTAAGGTCTCTCAAGAACTGTTTAGAAGCCGTCGATAAACTTAATGAGATCTACAAGAAAACTAATAAGACCCTCGATCTTATATTGGGGAACCAACTAGAAATTAAGCATACACGGACTGAAATAACGAATATTATACAGACTCCCGACAGCAGACCAGAGGAGCGCAAGAATCAAGTCAATGATTTGAAATGCGAGGAAGCAAAAAACACCCAACCGGAAAAGCAAAATGAAAAAAGAATCCAAAAATGCGAGGATAGTGTAAGGAGCCTCTGGGACAGCTTCAAGCGTACCAACATCAGAATTATAGGGGTGCCAGAAGATGAGAGAGAGCAAGATATTGAAAACCTATTTGAAGAAATAATGACAGAAAACTTCCCCCACCTGGTGAAAGAAATGGACTTACAGGTCCAAGAAGCGCGGAGAACCCCAAACAAAAGGAATCCAAAGAGGACCACACCAAGACACATCATAATTAAAATGCCAAGAGCAAAAGATAAAGAGAGAATCTTAAAAACAGCAAGAGAAAGAAACTCAGTTACCTACAAGGGAATACCCATACGACTGTCAGCTGATTTCTCAACAGAAACTTTGCAGGCCAGAAGGGAGTGGCAAGAAATATTCAAAGTGATGAATACCAAGAACCTACAACCAAGATTACTTTATCCAGCAAAGCTATCATTCAGAATTGAAGGTCAGATAAAGAGCTTCACAGATAAGGAAAAGCTAAAGGAGTTCATCACCACCAAACCAGGATTATATGAAATGCTGAAAGGTATCCTTTAAGAAGGGGAAGAGGAAGAAAAAGGTAAAGATACAAATTATGAACAACAAATATGCATCTATCAACAAGTGAATCTAAGAATCAAGTGAATAAATAATCTGATGAACAGAATGAACTGTTGATTATAATAGAATCAGGGACATAGAAAGGGAATGGACTGACTATTCCTGGGGGGGAAAGGGGTGTGGGAGATGCGGGAAGAGACTGGACAAAAATCGTGCACCTATGGATGAGGACAGTGGGTGGGGAGTGAGGGCGGAGGGTGGGGCGGGAACTGGGAGGAGGGGAGTTATGGGGGGAAAAAAAAGAGGAACAAATGTAATAATCTGAACAATAAAGATTTAATTAAAATAAAAAAAAAAAAAAAAAAAAATATTTCTCCTAAGTAATTTCCTTTCAATGTGCATGAATATGTGCACCAGGCCACTAGTATTTCTATAAAATATATACTAACATAAGAAGCTTAAAATGATTTTGTTCCAAAAAATTTAGATTTACTTAATTTACTGATAATTTATACAAATGCACAATAAATTGTTAGATGTCTTCAACTGGTAAGAATCATTTTCTGAGTAGATTGGATTACTGTTGTGAGGGGCGAACAATATATTTCTAAGGTCAATTTCTGTTTTCAGATACCTCTAATACCACAAAAGTTAATTCTCACTTGCATATGGGTATAGCAGTATTTTATTACAATAAAGAAAATAAAGAGAGGACATCATCAAGGTACTTTCTCTCTCCTAGATTCATTTTTTTAACCTAAGAATGTTTTTTAGGAAGTTTTAGGAAATTAGAGACACAGACATTTTTAAGAAAAATAAATAATAGGATTATTTTAAAAGTACAACAATTTCTGCACTAAAAATATAAACTCTTATTTTAAAACTGAAAAATTCCTTCAAGAGAAAATTTAATGACAGTTAATAGTGAGCAGCTTTGTAACCTCATTGGTCAAATGTAACAAAGTAATATAAGATTTTCATGTACTTTCATAATTAAAAAAGTAAGTTGTTTTTAGCATTTTTATTATCCTCTAAAAATAATTCCTTTGTAAATTAGTGACTTGTGTATAAAATACAGGAAAACCCTATTTAAATGTTTTTAGCATTTTAATATCCTCTAAAAACATTTCTTTGTAAATTAGTGACTTGTGTATGAAATACGGAAAACCCTATTTAAATCCTAGGAATTGTGCTGGGAAACAGTTTTGTGCACATGGCTATCGGTGAAATGGAATCACTGCTTATTTCATCTTTTCTTTTGGCTACACCTAAGACCTCTTCTTTGTCTTTAAGTTTCTGTATTTTCACTACAATGAGTTTAAATGTTTACTTTTTGTTTACATTGTTCAGGATTTGTTGTGCTTCCTGACTATGAGGATTGCCCTTCAACAATTCAGGGAAATTCTCAACCAATATCCCTTAAAATTCCTTCAAATATTTTTTTTGTGTGTGTTTGCTTCTAACAGATACTGCAATGTTGGTATTTGTTACCAACTAGGCCACTTCTTAAAAAATATATGTTTTTACTGATTTTAGAGAGAGAGAAAGGAAGGGGGATGGAGATAGAAAGAAACATCGATGTGAGAGAGAAGCATCAACTGGCTGCCTCCTGCATGCCCCCTGACCAAGGATGGAGCCTGCAACCTGGGCATGTGCTCTGACTGGGAATGGAGCTGGTGGCCTTTCAGTGCACGGGACGATGTTCAACCAACTGAACCATACTAGTCAGGGAAGTAGGGCCACTTTTAGAATAATTTATCCATTTTTATTTGTGTGTATAAATTCTAAATACAAGCTGTCTGAAGAAGACTGTGATGTCAAACTCTCATAGACTATATGTCCCTCACCACACTAAGCCCAGGCCAAGACAGAAAACACTTAGTTGACTCCTTGTATAGATAATAAGTTTCTATTCTTTTATTGGGGTGTTACCCTTCAATAGTCTGGCTAACTATGAGATCTTAGATATAATTTATTGCCTTGACTGAGTCCACAGTTCCTGTTCTTGGGTGAGCATTAAATTCCCAGTCAGGCTACCCAATCTGGAAACTTCCTTTGGTGCAGTCATCTTTTATTCTTGGCCCCTGAAGGTTTTGTTTTCTTTACTTTCTTGGAAGCTCAGCTGTGCATTTGAAATGCTTTACACAGCATTTTTACATGTTCTGTATGTCAGATTTATCTTGTCCACAATTTACCTAAAACGAATTTCCCTTGACA